GGGTTTGTAGATTGTCTAAAGGCGTTTAGACATATCACAAGTTTGTTGCAGTGTTCATGAGTACTTGTGTAATAAGATTTAAGTATTGGATTAAACTCACGCTCATCTGAATCACTTCATGGATTTTATAACAAGTGATTGTGAGATGATAATATCTTATATTCTTGAAACCAAGACATGTGAGTTGTAATTTACAAGTCGATTGCACATTGAAATATGTAAACTCACCAGTAACTTGGTGTTATAAAACATATTCTTGTGTGTGATTTGATGAGTAAGTACAAGCAACCATTTGAGTCGAAGTTTATCCATTCCTTTTTCCTTTAGAGGAATAAAAGCGATATTTGTGGGCCCCTCGATGATTAAGTGATGACACCCTAAGTGTTTGGCCAAGCCTGGAATGATTTCATTTGTTCAATTAGTTGGTCGTCATAAATCGGAAATCAGGAAACAACAAACAGACAGAGAGAATGATTATAATCCATGTCTCACGTCCATACGATATCTAGAATGGAGGAATATATGATCCCTTATCAAATGGACGCATCATTGACTAGGTCAGAGTTCGAACGCGGCTTTTAAGAGCTACGATTGCTAGTCGGGATTTTGGAGTCGTACTTGCAATAATAGTTATTAGACTTATCCAAGTAGGAGACTATTGGATTAGGTGTCTAAGCCCATAATTATAATTGGTATGTACTTGACCCGAGAGTAGCATGGTTCATTTCGGGTTGCATATCACCAGGACAATTTGAGGATGTATATTTGAGTAAGAGGTTATTTATGATTTATTAATATATTATAATTTCTAATATATTAATATGAAATCATATTATTTAATTAGTATTGATTAAGAATCAATTTGAAATTAATTTATTGATCAAAAGAGACTAATTAAATTAATGGAGACTAATTGTATATCAATGATATATATATATATATATATATATATATATATATATATATATATATATATATATGGTTTGGGCTAGTGATCCATGATGGACTAAGTTTATGTAAGTTTCCATGAAGAGTTAGCCCACGTGAAATATTGATCATAACCCAAAGTGTATGGGTTAGGGTTTACTCATGACTCTTGGATTACTACATATATATACATAACCCCATGGCTAAAGTGGGTTACAACAAGTGTTCTTGGAGTTCATAACCGATTTATGTGACATCCCTGTTTTCACGGCCAGAAAAGACCGATTTTGTTTATGCTTTATGAAAATCAGAGTACATCTTTTAATAAAAATGTTGCAGCATTTGTTCCCAGTAGAGCATGATAAATACATTATCAAAGCATTTCTGAAGAAAAGTATTTTTATTCATTTTAAAACATTTGGGATGTCATTGTCAATATAGAAACATAAGCATAAACAGAACTTACATTCATTATCACTAGTGATTTATATCTCCTTAATCTCTCAGTGTAATGTGACTTCATAACAACACCTGTGATATAAATAAACTGAGTGGATCAGGTTGGGAAACCTGGTGAGTACATAGGGTTTTCAACCCACAATAATATAATTATTATGTTTAAACAATTAATCAATCAACCCAATTACCCATCCCCATTATCTTCTTTATTCTTAAGAATCTACCCTAAGAATCAGCTATTCCTCGTTTATTTGTTCCTAAGGATCATCCTAAGGAATCGGAACGAAGTCCATTGTTGCCACAGTTTACACAACAGGCACTAAGTCTGCATAGTCGCCAGGGGTTAGGCATCAAGTCTGCATGATCGCCAAGGTTTACACAACAAGCACTAGGTCTACATAATCGCCAGGGTTTAGGCATCAGGTCTGCATTATCGCCAAGGTTTAGGCACCAAGTCTGCATGGTCGCCAAGTTTTAGAGTACACCAGGTGAACACATTGTTCACAACACCTACAGGTTGCGATCCTGCTAGTGTTCCACTGGACTGTCTAGAATAGTCTGTGGCTGTCATCCATACTCTGCTGAATGACGGGGCCATCGTTTGAGAAAATGCTTCTCACATCGTCCACCTCTCACTCCCACCTCGTGGTCTATAACACCTCTCAATTCATCATCAAACTCATATTCCATCTATTCCATCTACCCATGTTTTACCCCAACATTATCGTAGATATAAAATACATATACAGTTTAAATCATTTAAAACATGTATAAAATCGTTCATCCAGCATAGACAGCAAGTATTCAGATAATATGCACACATAGCACGTAATTTATATAAAATACTTCATATATATGTGTAAGATAAAAGTAACTATGCACTCACCTGAGAAGGTGGTGACTCGGTACTCGGAGAGCGCTTCGTTTACTTTAAAATAATTTCCTTCGACGAAACCTAGTATTATTACCACTAGATTTTAGTCTAATATTTACCGTGACTAATTATTAGTTTTAATATTATTATTATATAAACGTTTAAACAATACTTTCCAACCACAATGTACATACATGGGCTAGACATAAAACACTGGAGGGCAGGACCATTTTGGCGTATAGCACTTCTGAAATCCAACAACCCTATGCGGTCATTTAAACCAGATTCCCGTACCACGAGTAGTTAAAAAGATATTATAACGATACTTATATAAGTCATAATAATAGCTCAAATTTTATTATAACTTCATAATAACAATATTAATTTTAAATATAAGCTATATTAAAATAAGGTAAGCATAACTTACTTACAATGAGATTTTAGCTAGGAGTCGGGCTCTGCAGGGGCAGAACTTCGTCGCTGAACCTTTCTAAGAAATATTCGTGTAGCGCTTTAGCGCTCACCTTACTATACTAAAAACTATAGAAAGAGAAGTCGAATCACGAGGGACCGAAATGATCGGGGGATAAGGAGAGAAAGACTCTTGAATCAAGAGAATGGTGCAAGAAATATAAGAGCTCAAGGCTTTTATTTATACTAATTAAATTTTCAAAAACTACCTTCCATAATTACTTAATGAACATTTAGTTATATAAACAACTAAACACCTCTCTTTAATACTATTTTAAATGGATTTAATGATATTTGTACTAAACTAATGTCGAAAGAACTCAACATTAGTCTTATAATGACCACATCGTCGATACCTTTCAAATGATATATATATATATATATATATATATATATATATATATATATATATATATATATATATATATATATATATGTGTGTGTGTGTGTGTACATATATATGATTTATACTTTATTTTAATACGTAAATATGCTATTATAATTTGTAATTCGTTCATTTGAACTCCGTTTTTGACGTTCTTTATATCCAAGTGTAGGTGGAGACGTACTCTACAACTTTTGTTTAGACTCCGTCGGCTAATTTTGACTTTATTTTTAAAATTATATTTTTAACAGGCCGGGACATGATTGGTCCATTAAAATCTTATAACTTTTTCATCCAATGTCCATTTTCGTCTGTCTTTTTATCGTTACGCTACTAATAACGAGATATTCGATACTCATCATTTTGCACCCCAAACACCTATAACGTTCAACGATTTGAAGGGTGCGGAAGGATCAAGAGACGATTTTGGGTGCATATGGCTTGGATTAGAGAAAAGAAGCTCGTGAGGTAATCATTTAAACTATTTTGATCCAGTAGGGCTTTAACGGTGTTTTGATTAATTGAGCTAGTGGAGTTAGATTATGTTAAGAAAGTTTGTTAGTATTGTTAAAGAAGGTAGTTAGATGCCTTAGACAAGCTTGTATGTGATCCTATGAGTGTGATCAATCAGATGAGAGTTAGGTTTTGAAACCATAACTAATGATTATGTATGTAATTGATGCATTGGAGTTGGCTTATGATGAATTAAACATTGTAGAATGCTTAATTCATCAATTGAATGAGATTAATGGATAGATAATGAAAAGCTAGATTAAGGATTCATTAAGTGGTCATTTTGACTTTAAGAGCCAAATGATCTTGAAAGGCTAAGACACATATTAAGAACTTGTATGTATGTTCGATTAGGCCTAAGAGCAAGAAAGATGGATTAAGATGCATCAATTGAGGAAATGAGCCAAAGTGGGACAATTAGTCTTCAGAATCTGATAAGGTGAGTTATTAGTCTCACTCTCTCTTTAGATTATGTTATATATATATATATATATATATATATATATATATATATATATATATATATATATATATATATATATATATATCAAAAGTAGGTAAGAAGTATACACAAGATACAGAGTGTGTTTCACTAATGGCTTAGACCCCCTTAGGACCGCCCTGTGTTTGGCCCCTTTAGCCATTTAGCTAACTTTAACCTATTTAGTTTTTCTATTTATATTGTTTTTTTCTTTACTTTCAATGTTTCATTGTAATTGTACTCTTCTATTTTTAATAATGAAACTAACAGTATTTCGTTAGTTTAGAACGATAGGCAATATGTTGTCAAACACGTGAGCCGGACAAACTTCTACCCATTTATAAAGCGGGTCATAAAAGAATTGGTCCTGTCTACAGTTGAAAGTGAAACCGCTAGTGACGTGAACGTTGAGATTTAGCCACACTGGATGGAATGTCAACATAATAAATTAACAATTAATCAACAGTAAGATGTAAAGTTTGACATTAGGTTTGATGTAAAGATTATACCGTATTCAGCATATCCAGTCATCCTGCTACTATAACTTTTTAGAAACTAGCTAGATAACTAAACTGCTCATGCATGAATCACATGTAAACAGTTCTCATAATAGACCTTATTTTTTGGAAATTATAATAAAATTACATAACTACATATGCCTATGGGATTAGTTTACAACGACTTTGATTAAAAATAAGTTGAAAATGAATATTATGATTTGTGACGCTGTGGTTGCTGGGGTTATGTGAGGAAGGTCGTAATTGGTGATGGGTTTAACTCTACTCATAAGTTGACTTAATCGTTTTCCATTAATTTTAATAATTTAGAAAATTGACACTTAACGGATAAATACCTCCTTTTATACTTCCACCAAAAACAACCTTTTGCAAATGGCGGCCCACCCGAATTATTGTTTCTCAAACACGTTTGAGGATGTTCTTGCATCCTCTCTACAATCACCAACAAACGATTCCATCGTCTTCAACCTCTCGATCCTCAGAGACAAAGCCCAGCAGGTTCAAACCATCGCCGACATGTTCTTCACCCAAACACAAACTCAATCCATGACTTCTTCCAACTCATCAACCTCCGTTAACATGGAGAACCTCGCCGGTTTGCTACAAGAAATCATCGTGATCGCGTCTAACGTCATGTTCGCTTGCCAAAACATTGGTAGTACTCCTGTTACCCAACCAGATTGACAACACCCATGAGTTTGATCACCAGTTTGACCAACCAAACGACGTGTTTAAGTGTTCCGGTGGAGTAGAGAAAAGTTTCGGTATCGTTAACTTTAACATGAGAAACGAGGACAATCTTTTAGAAAAGCGGAAAGAGTTGCAGGTTCAAAGAGATAGACAAAGTGGAATTGGGTACGACATCATAGAAATGGATGCAGCCGATTTGTTAGCGAAATATACACACTATTGTCAAGTGTGTGGTAAAGGATTCAAACGAGATGCGAATTTACGCATGCACATGAGGGCGCATGGAGACGAATATAAGTCTACTGCGGCTTTATCGAACCCCCCTAAATGGTGGCACAACAGTGAAACCAGCAAGAAAGTATTCGTGTCCGCAAGAAGGGTGTAGATGGAATCGTAAGCATGAGAAGTTTCAGCCACTGAAGTCGATGGTTTGCATGAAGAATCACTATAAAAGGAGCCATTGTCCGAAGATGTATTCGTGTAAGAGGTGTCAACAGAAGCAGTTCTCTGTGCTTTCGGATTTAAGGACTCATGAGAAGCACTGTGGGGATGTGAAATGGCGGTGTTCTTGTGGGACGACGTTTTCAAGAAAAGATAAGCTCATGGGTCATGTTGGTTTGTTCATAGGACATACACCTGCAGATGTTGATACAAGTTCTTCGAACAAGATTCAATGAAGTTAGCAATGGTGGTTTGTTTTTCGAATATGTATTACAAAGTTACTTAATCATCAAAATTGAATATTAGTTACAAATCATAACATTTGAACACTTTTCATAGTTCGATGGTCAATGGTATACGAACATAATTTATAACAAAATAAAAAGATAATTATCCTTCTAAATCATTTTTATGTTTTTATTTGTCATCTAAATATCATGTATAGTCAAGTAAGATCTAACCTAGAATACTTGGTAGTTGATTGTAATATTTGAACACTTTTAATAAATTTATCCGTTAATCATATAGTATATAAGAAAGTTATTTAAATATAAACAAAAACAAACAAATAGATAACTACTTTCCTAATCCATTTTCCAAAACAATTAATTAGTCTATAGAATTTAGGGCATGACCCTTGCTAATTAATTA